AGAGAGAGAGAGAGAGAGTATAATACATATATTTAGCTGAGGAAGGAGCTAGCTGGAGGACACCTTTGCCACTTTTCAAGTTTCAAGTTTCAAGTATCCTAGTGTAAGTATAATTCACTACCAAATTCTTAAGACAACCGTAGAATGTAATGACCTTTGACTTATTCACTTAAAAACAGAATTGGTACCTTTACAACCCCTGCCAACTTTTGTCAAATGAAACTAAACCAATCAAGAAGATTGGGTTGATGAATAAAGGAGCACTTAACTGAGAAAGAAGTTCTGGCTAAATAGACACCAAGTGGTATACTCTGGGAGGAGATTGACCAGCGAAATCAATATTGTAGATATTATGTTGCCCAGACATGTGCTTTCAAGCTTTCAATATATTTTGTTATAATACATTGGACAGAGTGCGAATTCCTCGTGAAACCCACAAGCATTCAGCTATAAAGAACAAATATACGTAGGTACAGTGTTTTCCTTTTAACCAACTTCTTTTGAAACATCTCTATTCATCAATTTTAAAAGGTATAAGACACTAAAACAAAACTACGTGCTGAATTGGAAAGCACTTATTAATAATGAACTTGAGAAGTAATTTGGTGTGATTAGGGAACTTAATCAAGTTCAGGTCTCGCAATTCTATCAATATTTTACTTTCCACATTGCGGGTATATCTACCAATTACAAAATTATCAACAGTGCGCATTCCACAGGAAAGTTGGAGGAAGGAGGAGGCTGCTCCTGGGTCATGACCATGAATGATTAATAGAAACTACAATCTATTATTCTTTGCCTCTAAATCTATTTTTTTTCTTAAATATGATCTTGAATGAGCAGTAACCTTTCATTATTTTATCTAGATATAATTTCATTTACTAATGCTTTCCTTCAAAGCTAGGCTTCAATAATATAATAAATCTATTGAAGATTGGCATCCTCTAAATATAGCTATATAATTGAACCTTTTATACAAGTTTTTAAAATATTCTATCCCCATAAAATCACAGTCAAGAAGATAATACCCCTGTATCGATAACTGTTGGTTAATTGGTGCATGGATTATCGAGATGGGAGAAGAAAAAACAAAACGTAGGCTCTTTGTGAGAAAGCATGTCTATTACGTGTGGGAGTAAAGGTTTAGGGCCCTAAGAGAGGCAGAAACAGAAGAAATTATTGCAAGCGTGGGTCTTAGGTTTTTTTCCCTTAGGCCTTAGCCACAACGGCACTAAAAACTTGGATCCGGCAATGATAATCTTCTTCTGAAGAGTTCAGTTCATTGATCATTATACTTGGGTATTGTAATATTGGATTATCAATCACCACAATAAAAAAAATGTTTTTATAATGGCAAATAAACATTGGAGCACGAGTTTTAGTGAGTTTAGACTCAGGTCTTGGCCTTTATACCACTAACAACAGGACAGTTATGGATACTGCTGGCCTTAATTGCAGCCTACTAAAGCACATAATAATTGGTTTAATCACCACTTATTTTTCAATTATTATTACTTTCTTATAAATGAAATAATTAAACCAATCAAATATCCATTAACTTGCCTTTAATTAACAGGAAAAAATTATTTTAAGTCCTTAATTTAATTTCAAAATGAATAATTAATATGGCGCCTAGCCACTTCTTAGTTTATATATATAATCTGGCAGTTAAGTACATGGAAACATATGATTGCCTTTTGATGATATTTACTACCCTTAACATTTACTTCTTTTCTTACAGGTTAAATACTAAAAAAACTTCATGCCTAATGATCATATTTCCAATTAAGGTTTAAGTTTTTATTATATCCGAACCAGCCTTTACTCTTTATTTTGTATTCAAATAATTCCTTAACTTTAATGAAAAATTAACATGTTTTAACCACATAGCTTGATGACATGATCATGTGTTAAAATGATATTTTCTCTTTTTTATTTTTTTTTTCATTTTTCTTCAAAATTATGTAGTTTTAACAAGATTACATAAGTCTTTCCATTTTCTTCTTCCTCTTCCTCTCTTTATCCTCACCTTCCATCTCCCTCTTTTTATGATATGCCATTGTCTGCATTGCCCGACTTTCCTTTCGAAGCACCATCAACGTTGAACTTTAAGATTCCCATTGGCGGTATTGTCCAGATCTTTTTAATTGGCTTTGCTTGTTTTGGTATCATTGCCATGCTTAGTTGGTTGCATACATCCAAGAGAGAATTATTAAACTCTGTCCATTTTGTTTTGAACCACCATGTCACACGTAATTTCACCATGTCAAATACTTGATCTACATCCCACACTTTTTCATTGAAAGCCATATCAACCAAATGATGGTAAAGAAGGCCATTTTCCACGTGCCCCAGCACTCCGACTTAATGTCTATATTGTTCCATTCCACAATTGCACCTCTCGCATCTTTCGGCATCGCCCATGTTATACCCCAACTGATAACATCCATACTTTCCATGTTTCGTAACACTCAAAAAGCAAATGTTTAACTGAATCGTTACCTTCTTACACAGAAAGCATACTACCGCATCCCTATTCAGAACACCTTTCTTTACTAATTCACCCTTAATCACAATTCTGCCTCTTGTTACTTGTCAACAGAGCACCTCCACTTTTGCCAAAGCTAGACCCTACCACACATGTTCTTAACCTTTTCGAACCAACTTCCTCCCTTTTGATCTGAGGTGTCATTAGGAATTTCTTTCTTTGCTCTTCGTTTTCTGATTCTCGAGAAGTTGATGTGTAACGTACTAAATAAATTATACCTAGACCGGTGCACAAGTGGGTAATTATTGTTCGTTGGATTGGCAAAATGAATTGAATTGGCCATGCAAAAGATGCTGTTCATTGATGTTCCTAGCTACTAATTCTTCATATTTTTTCTTTGGGTGTTGAATCAATTCAAATGTGATACGAGGTCATGATCACCTCTAAATTTAAGAGCAACATTCGGTAAATTCAATAAGCACCCTTAAGTATTGGAAGTAATTTCATTTCTTTTTGAAGTAGCGGCGGATTATGATTATCTAATTTTATTGCAGAGAATCTACTTGGTTATGGAAATGGCTTTGGGTTTCAATAAAAAGATTGATGTGTTGAAAGTGTTTAAAGTTATGTTGAAAAATCTTAATAAAATCACAGTTCTCAATTAGCAACATATATATATATATATATATATATATAAACAACCCAGAGAAGTCATATATAATTATGATAAAGTTGATATGTTAATTAATATTTCAAGAGGAGATTTATTAATAGGAAATTAAGAAAACTGAAACCTTGGTTTGGTTGAGATGAACTCCTTCACGCTGCAATATGCTTGCATGGCTGCTACGTGTATAACCTATGGTTTAGGGCCCTAAGGGTACAAGAGGATTGCAAGCGTGGGTCAATTTTTTACAATCAGTTTACTTCTATCCAAGTTTGCACAAAAAACGTGGATCTCCTTAATCATTATTACCCTTAGGACTTGGATTATTATTATTTTTTTCAAAAAAGAGAGAAGATATTTAGATAATATATGAAGAAGAAGTTAAACTGGATGGGCTCAAGCTTTTGTAACAGAAGAATTATGGTACGGATGTAACGTACCGATAAAAATCATTTGAAAGATAGATTTGAAATTGATGGAGATAAATAATTTGATGTTAGTAATAAAAGGGTAAGTTAGTGAGGGAGTTACTTTTGAAACATATGATTTTCTTTCAATTATGATCGTTAACTCTTTATGATTTAATTATTTCCATTAAATTAAAAAATGATGAGTCTTATCAGCCTTTGAAGTTTTTTTTTTATCAGGGAGTTACATTGAAACATTTAATTTTCTTTTGATTATTATCATCATTTACAGTTACGGTAGATTTAACTATTTTATTTAATTATTGAATAATCAGTTGTAATTAAACCAAACTCCTATAATTAGCCTTTAGATACTTATTGGTCAACTTTTTTTTTTTTTGTATTCTCGTGTAGAGAATTAACCTTTCCTATTTTTGGGAGATTCGTGAAAACCCTTCTCATGATTAAGTCATAGATACACTATGTTTAATCCTACTTATCCTAATTTACTTTCTAATGACATGTTTATTCTAAGTAGAATAACATGAGCTAACCTAAAGTAACTATATATTACGGTCAAAGAAGCTTAATTAACTGAGATTAAGGCTTCTTCTTCCAAAAAAAAAAACAAGAGAGAGAGAGAGATTAAGGTTCGATAACATCTCCTCCATGCATGTGTATATATCTTGTCCAAGTAGTGGGAAATGGAATTTAAATTGTAACATCCAACCAATGACTTAGGCATGACAGAATCTACCATTCTTTGATCAAATGTGGAAAGGTTGAATCCATCATTAATCTCTCTCTCTCTCTCTCGATAATAACCTAGTGAATCTCACAAGCACACACGGCAAGCATTAAATAAGCAGGGCCATTGATTCATGCATGGCCAGTTTTATCCTTGACGGCGCACGACCTTCCACAAATAAAATCCAATCAATTACTAAATTCTTTTCTTTAATTACTTCACTCCTTCACTATATATGCAACCATTGCCGCCTCTTCACATTTCCCAAACTCCTTTTATTTCTTGTTATCATCAAACACTCAGATCGCCAATATCAAATTCGATAGCTCTTCATTTCTCTTCATTCTACTCTCTCTCAATCTCAAACGAAAATGGGAAGTCACTACTCGTTTAATGGTTGGTCTAAGTCTGAACTTGTTGCCAAAGAAGAAGAAACCTCTCCTTTCCCAACCCAACTTCCTCTCGATTCAAGGTGGCGTTAGGAGTTTGAATTCTTCTTTCTTTTCACTTTTCTTTCTACATGGTTTTTCTTTTCGTTCTTATAAATTTTCTGCTTAAGATTTTCAGTGCAAGTGTGTACTATAATTCGGTGGATTGGCAAAATGAGTTTCCCATCCAAGAGAGCTTTTTCGATGCTCTTCCTTTGATGAGCTCTTTCTACACGGATCCTTTATATGATTCATTGGACTTTGAAAAAAGTTCAAGTCTAACTCGAGGTGATACTAGCTTGTACATTCATAAACTAAAAAGAAGTTTATCTTTTTTAAACTTTATAGTAAGCATCTTCAAAGTATTATGAGAAGATCATCTTACTATTGTTGCAGAGAACAACCTACTTGGTTGTGAAAAGGGCAGCGGCTTTTGGAATGAATTGGGCGCCTTGTTTAAGCCCAACGCTAAAAATGAAGACGTCGGAGAAGAATTGAAGGGAGAGAGGAGTGCTAAAAGGTGCAGGGAAGAGAAATGCAGCAGTTCGACAATGCTGTCTAGGAAAGTCATCTCCCAGTACTTTTACTTGCCTATAACTCAAGCGGCAAAGGAGCTTAACGTTGGCTTGACACTGTTGAAGAAACGTTGTAGGGAACTTGGAATCCGTAGGTGGCCTCACCGCAAGCTTATGAGCCTCCAAACTCTTATCCGGAACGTTCAGGTATCTATCATCCATGCTTTAATCCTCCTTTCTTCTCCCTCACTTTCCATTTTGGCTAATGGCTTGTTCGGGTATATAATACAGGAGTTGCAGAAGGAGGAAGGTGAAGAAAGTGAAAGGAAACTGAGGGAAGCAGTAGAGGTCTTGGAGAGGGAGAGGAAGCTGTTGGAAGAGATGCCAGATTTGCAATTGGAAGACAAGACCAAAAGACTTAGACAAGCCTGCTTCAAGGCAAATTACAAGAAGAGAAAGCTGATGATGATGGAGTCACAATCGTCTTCCGGTGGTAGCCGAGAAA